CCTGTTTGATGAATTGTTGGACCCATTTACAGTTTAGTAACATGTTCAGCTTTCATATATTTGTGTTCTTTTCAGGTGTGTGTGTGTGTGTGTGTGTGTGTGTGTGTGTGTGTGATTTCTAGTTTAATACCCCTCTGGTCAGAAAAGATGCATAATATGATTTCATTCTTTTTTAATTTGTTGAGACTTGTTTTGTGGCCTAACATGTTACCTGTTCTGGAGAATGTTCCATGTGCAATTGAAAAGATTGTGTATTCCACTGTTTTGGGATGAAATGTTCTGAATGTATCTGTTAGATCCCTTTGGCCTAGTGTGTCATTCAAAGCCAGTGTTTCCTTGTTGATTTTCTGTTTGGATGATCTGTCCATTGATTATGTGTTAAAGTCTCTTACTATTAGCGTATTACTATTGATTTTTTCCTTTATGTCAGTTAATAGTTGCTTCGTGTATCTGAGTGCTTTCATGTTGGGTGCTTAAATACTTATTATTGTATTCTATTTTTGGATTGTTCCCTTCATGATTATATACTGTCTTTCTTTGTGTCTTGTTAGTTTGTATTGTAAAGTCTGTTTTGTATGATGTAACTATTGCTACCCCAGCTTTCTTTTTGCTTTCATTTGCCTGATAAATGTTTTTTCCATCCCTTCCCTTTCAATTTGCATGTATCTCTAGGTCTGAAGTGAGTCTCTTATAAGCAGCATATAGATGAGTCTTGCTTTATCCTTGTAGTCATCCTGTGTCTTTGGATTGGAGAAATAACCCATTTACATTTATAATTATCAATAGGTAGGTACTTACTGCCATTTTGTTACTTGTTTTACGATTATTATTGTAGTTCTTCTCTGTTCCTTCTTGTTTTGCTCTCTTCCCTTGTGGTTTCTTTAGTATTATGCTTGGATTCCTTTCCCTTTATTTTTTGTCTGTTACAGGTTTTTGATTTATAGTTACCATTAGATTCATAAAAAAAATCTTATCCAGATAGCAGTGTATATTAAGTTGATGGTTGCTTAAGTTTGAGCCCATTCTTAAAGCACTACATTTTTCTCTCCCCCCCACCCCACCCCCCCACATTTTATGTTTATGATATTCTGTTTTACATCCTTTTATTTTGTGAATCCCTTGTCTGATTTTTCTGTCAGTGTTTAGGTGGTTTTCAAAGGTAGTTGCACAGATACGGCTGTTACCTTCGTATATGTGTGAGCTCAGGATCCTTCACCATCTTTCTAGAACTCCCTCAGGATGGATAATTTTTAAGGTTCTTGAAAAAAAAATGTCAAATTACCTTTCAAAAAAAATATAACCTATTTTATGGTTATACCAGCAATGTATAAAAGTGGCCATCTTATTGAACCTTAGCTTACAAGAGTGTTTACTTTTTAATTTTTGTAAATATAGGAGGAAATGAGAGGTATTTTTTGAGATATAGTCTACATAACTTATTAGGTATTTTATTGTTTTTAATTCATGTTGTTCCACTTCTGAGGTTGAATATTCAGTGTTATATGTAAGCCCTCCAGAATTGTATAGGAAACCTTCCTTTTGTCTCCTAGCAGAAGGAATATAAATTTTTCTATCTTAATAACTCACTAAAGGTTTATTTATTTATTTTAATGTTTTTTTATTTTTGAGAGAGAGAGAGACAGAGTGCAAACAGGGGAGGGGCAGAGAGAGAGGGAGACACAGAATCTGAAGCAGGCTCCAGGCTCTGAGCTGTCAGTACAGAGCCCGATGCAGGGCTTGAACTGAAAAACCTTGAGATTGTAACCTGAGCCGCAGTCAGTTGCTGAACTGACAGAGCCACCCACGTGCCCCAAGGTTTATTTTTTTAAAAATACATTGATGCATATATAGGATTTGGCTAGTTGAATAACAACAAAAAAGGAATCCCTCAATTTAGAGTCCCTTGCTTGATTTTGTTGTGACCATATAGATTTTGTCCTCGGTACTTTGTTCAGAGCTGAGTAGAAAAGGGATGCAGACAGTAAGATCCCAGAATTCTAAGTTATTAGTTATCTTTAAAATGAGCTGTTGGCTGGGGTGCCTGGGTGCCTCTGCTAGTTAAGCATCCGACTTCGGCTCAAGTCATGATCTTGTGGTTCATGAATTTGAGCCCTGCGTCGGGCTCTGTGCTGACAGCTTGGAGCCTGGAGCCTGCTTCAGATTCTGTGTCTCCTTCTCTCTCTGACCCTGCCCTGTTCACGCTTTGTCTCTCTCTGCCTCAAACATAAATAAACATTAAAAAAAAATTTTTTTTTTAAATGAGCTGTTGGCACACAACCTTTTTGTATGTTGGAACTTTTATACACATTGGGAAAATCCCCAAGTGCATATTTTTTTGTTGATAAAATTTGTTTTCCAAAACATGTTGTCTTTGTTCTCACAGGTCTATTAAATTCCTTGAGGGTAGGAATCACATCTCTTTGATTTTTGTATACTAAGCATTATTCCAGGCACACAACAGGTGTTCAGTGAATATGTGTCTAATAGGCTCTTTAAAAGAGTAAAAAGACTCCGGGCACCTGGGTGGCTCAGTTGGTTAAGCATCCAACTTGAGCTCAGGTCATGATCTCACAGTCTGTGAGTTTGAGCTCAGAGCCTGGAGTCGGCTTCAGAATCTGTGACTCCCTCTTTCTCTGCCCCTCCCCCGCTTATGCTCCATCTTTCTCTCTCAAAAAAATAAATGAATGTTAAAAAAATGTTTTTTTAATTAAAAAAAAAAGTAAAAAGACTGAACTTGAAGTTAGAAGGCCTGTGTTTTTTTTCCCATTAATTCACTTGAGCTTTAGGACCTTTGTAGATATGTGACATCTTTTGAACCTCAGTTTCATCTACTCATGGGTGCACTGCTTTTTCCATTTACTTCACAAAGTTGAGAAATAAATGAGATAAAATATGTTAAAGTATCTTGTGAAATTAAAAAGTACTGTACAGTTGTGAAACTCATGATCATTATTATCTGGGAAGTACTTGGTAATGAGTCCCATTGTTAAGAAATTACCTGGAAGGATATGCCAGAGCCTGCTAGCTAGTCACCAAGAATCCAATGTTTCCTCTTCTTCCTGGACCTATCACTGGACTGTGTCCTGGCCTCTTTCGCATTTAGATACGGTTATGTGACTGAGTTCTCACCAATGGAGTGAATAGAAATAATGTGTGCCACTTCAGGCCCAACGCTTAAAAACCTATCGTGAGGGCTCCCCAAGCTTTTTTCTCCTTCTCTCTCCTTCTGTCTCCAGGTTGGAATGGAGACAGTCCTGGGGTAACTGTGGAAGGCTTTAAGGGTGGTGAAGCCTCCTTTAACCTGCTTGGAAGCATCTGCACCCATCCAGTTGTGCTACATGAGCAAGAAATAAGCCTCTGTTGTATTGGAATCTCTGTACATTTTGCGGTCTACTTGTCGTAGCAGTTAGACTACTCCTAACAATTAAAAGGAGCATGCTGACACATGCTCTACTTTTTCTTTAGTGCTTTATGTTTTCATAATCCTTACAGCAACCTTCCAAGCAAGGGATCACAGGTCAAAGCTGTAAGTGTATAGAAATGTGGTCCATATACTTACAAAACAAAATAGAAGAAAGAATGATATTTTTTCATTTAAGAATTTTTTGGTTGAGAAAAGTTAAATAATGAGATTTATGACTTGTTATTATTTTTTATTTTTTGAATGTTTATTTTTGAGAGATAGAGCATGAGCAGGAGAGGGGCAGAGAGAGAGGGAGACAGAATCCAAAGCAGGCTCCAGGCTCTGAGCTGTCAGCACAGAGCCTAATGGGGGGATTGAACTCAGGAGCCGTGAGATCATGACCTGAGCCGAAGTCAGATGTTTAACCGATTGAGCCACGCAGGCACCCCCTGAGATTTATGACTTATTATTAAAGTTTATTTACATACCTTATATATTTTTCAGTTTTTCATTGTTGGAGGCCAGGATTTCAAAAGAGTATGAGGTATCTCTTGGTAATACCTTGCTTTAATTGGAATTTAGTGTGTAAATTTTTTCTTTAACATAATGTTAAAGCTATTATAATCAAGATACTCATTTTCTATTTATTAGCTGGTTCTAACGCATTTCATTATAAAAGTTTTTTGTTGGTGTGGGTACAGCTATCTAGACATCCTCTAGAAATTGGAGGACAAGGCATTTTCCTCAAAAGAAGCATGTGTGAAACTTCATATTACCTTCCTAAGGAATAATATTGGGGAAATTAAAATACACACTTATCCTTCTTTGTGGCAGCACTTACCCAAAGTAACTGATAATACTGTATCGTAAGATTGAGGAGGGAGGGGGTCGCTTTAAATCTATTTAGGTTTGAGGTGGTCCAGTAATGTCCTTAACATCAAGTACAATATTGATCAGTCTCCTTCTCTAGCATATTTTAGCATGTTTTACTTTCTAGAATATTTTGATTGTAGAAATAAATAATATACCATCAAACATAAAATAATTATCACAGAATGGACGCACTTTACTGTCTAGAGAGGGACCTGCCCCCTTTCTTCTTCAGCAGTAAATTTAATTTGATACATTATATTTAGTAATCTGATTTCCCCTAGGAGGCTTGAGTTCTTCTCTGGGTTACAATTAACTCAAATCAGGAAATAAGCTGTGGACAGCAGATTAGAAATCCAGAAGGGTAAGAAATAAACCTTATAGTAGAGCTTTAAAAGGCAAGAGCAAAGGACAAAGCAGCCGTAGGAAAGAAGAAAAAACTAACCGTATAAACAGGAGTTTGAAGGAATTAAGTGAATTGACAAGCTCAGTCCTATTTTCTTGGATACCTTTTAGGAGTATTGAACTATTTATTATATCACATACAATAACTGATATTAATAATTGCCTTGAAAAGTAACATAAAACTGAGTTATGTTCAGAATACATTTTGGTAGAATGTGAGGTGCATTTTATTTATTTATTTATTTATTTATTTATTTATTTATTTTTAATGTTTATTTTTGAGAGAGAGCGCACCAGCGAGCAGGGGAGGGGCAGAGAGAAAGGGAGACACCGAATTCAAAGCAGGCTCCAGGCTCTGAGCTGTCAACACAGAGTCTGACGCAGGACTCGAACTCACAAACCGTGAGATCATGACCTGAGCCGAAGTCAGATGCCCAACCGACTGAGCCACCCAGGTGCTCCAAGTGCATTTTAGAGTTTCTTCAGAACTTGTTATAATCAAGGTTTGGGTGGTTCCCACTGATCTGAAAATTTTAGTTAAATCAGGACGGCTTATTTCCTAACCAAATAGCTACTATTTCTTAAAAAATTAGTTCTTCTTAGGTTGCATAGAAAAAAGTACATGATTCTTGATTTCTGACTACCTAGTTACTCACCTTCAAATGCAGTTCCTTCAAATTATTAACCTTGGAGTGATTTGAGTTCTTATCTATTTGTGCTAGAAAGAAGCTACATTGTTTAAAAATCAGATTCTTTTAAGGAAGTGAAAAGCTAGTGTAATTACTAACAGATGAGTTTTTGGACTTCAATTTTTTTTTTTTAAGTTTACTTATTTTGAGAGAGCACAGGGTAGGGAGGGGAGGGGCAGGGAGAGAGAGAATCCTAAGCAGGCCCCACACTGTGAGCAGGATGGGGGTGGGGGATGGCAATGCAGGGGCTCTAACTCACAAACCGAGAGATCATGACCGGAGCTGAAATTAAGAGTCTGATGTTTAACTGTCTGGGCCACCCTGGCACCCCTGCGCTTCGATTTTTAAAACAAAGTTGAATCCAGTTGGTATCTTTCATATAAATTGATTTTAATACTTTATATTTAGCTCCCCCACCACCGCCCAACCAAAGCTATGTCTACATTCTTTGGAATCTATCACTTTTCTAGAAAAATTGTTTCAATACAGCAGAAATTGCCTTCTACTCGGCTGATCATTTGTTTAGAGGTACTTTGCAGCGAGATAACTGGTTGAAGCTGCTGAGATTTTATTTCTTCAGTTTATAAGTAGAGTAAAACATTACGGTTACACTAAAAGAGAAATATATTTTATTAAAGCGACTTTGCAGGGTTATTTGTCATGGCACACTAAAGATACTCCTAAACAAAATCTACCGCAGTGCCTCACATGTGGTAGAATTTAAGAAACGTTTGTTGAATGAGCATTGAATTTAAACTAGTTTTTGTTGTCATAGCAACCTACAGGCAAAGTGTCAGGGGTGCTGTATTTTTAATTTTTTTATAAATGTTTGTTTGAAAGGAGGGAGGACAGAGCTTGAGCGGATGAGGCAGGTGTCGTATATTTAAAAGATTCTTAACTAGAAAATTTTAACCATCGCATACTAATTGTATTTATTTGTGTCCGGGATGCAGGTGGCGATAAAAATAATAGATAAATCTCAGCTGGATGCAGTGAACCTTGAGAAAATCTACCGAGAAGTACAAATAATGAAAATGTTAGACCACCCTCATATCATCAAACTTTACCAGGTAGGACTTAACCTTATTCTTCTCCATGCTTCTCACAACCCATTCTCTCTTTTGCATCATTTTTCTCTTTTGTGTGAGTTTTTTCAGTCTATTAAAAAAAAGATGATTATATGGTTTCGTTAAGCTGGGTACACCCATTTTTTGTATTTTAATAAAAAACTAGGAAGTAAAAAACTAGTAGCTTAATTTTAAGTTGTCTCTGAGACTGTAAGGTATTTAATTCAAAAGTTTGTAGTTTTGCTTTTCTGATACTTAAGTCTGTTGTCTTTTGGTGGTGGAACCATTAATGGGGATATGGCAGTTTTGCTTATTTAAAAAAAAAACACTTTATGTTTTTTGAAATACAAAGGTTAAAATAGCATATTACCTAGTGGCATACTTGGTAATACTTAGAACCAAGTCGTATATTTCGTTTGGGTTATTTTGTCAGATAAAGTAAATGAGCCATTTTTTTTTTTTAAAAAATCAACTTTATTGAGATAAAATTTTGTAAAATAACTATACCCATTTAAAGTATAAGCTGTGTTTTTTAAAAGGAAGATTTTCTCCGATTTTTAAAGAGTAATTCATGTTGAAGAATGACAATGTAATACAAAACATTTTTTTAACATTTCTATTTGTTAATATGTAGAATTTTTCTATTGGAAAACTTTTTAAGCTAAAATGTTACACTCTGCTAGCCTATGACTTGTGTCTCCCTGGTGTGATGTGTGCACCCAGTGGTATGCTGTCCTCAGCCTGTACTGGCTTGTAATATCTATAACATTTTCAGAAGTTTTGTGAGTCAATTAATAGCGCGTTAGTAGCCCAAAATTGGCAATGGTGGGAGTATTTATACCACAGGAAGCTGTTCACAAGTCAGGGCCATTTTATTTTCCCCCCTACAGAGAGCTAATACTGGCCCACCACTGTGTATACTCACATGGGTTAGCACAAGTGTCCCGTGGGCATAAGAAAATATCAAAACGTCTAACTATGTGTATTTTTTGTATTTATCTTCTTGTGTGCACTTTATCATGTATATAATGTGTTTATACAATTATGCAGCACAAGTATGTAATTTGTGTCTCTTTACGTTCATATAAACATACACAGGTACGTGTATATATTTACATGTACATGCCTATGTACATATGTGTCTGGCTAGACGATTGGTTATTGATAGAGATTTGCAATTAAAAAGGTGTGGAGACCATTAGTGTTACCATTAGAATGAGAGACTATGATGTGCCACTCAAAACAATTCCCGAAGTTCTAAAACTGCACATGGCGCCTTAGGTCATATTTATATCACAGTATTTCTCCCTTTAAGCCTTTTTTTTTTTTTTTTTTAATTACTAAAGAGAATACTTATAAGAAACTAATCACATCCTTAGAAGTCTGATAAACCATAAGCTAAACTGAGGCTACAACTACCATGTTTCACACAATTCCATCTTTATTTGAGCTAAATAATCAGTTAAATTGACTTACTATTTGGCTTATTTAGATGCAAATTGTAGATAGCTCTTTTCTGGCCTGATTGGGAATAGTCCTAAACCTACATGTTAGAGCAAAATTAGTCTTCAGCCTTTGAGTAGATGGCAGTTAAATTTTCACTGTTAGCTTGTGCCAGTACATTAAAAGATAGTGTTACAGAAAATCTAAAATTCACTCATTTTGAACTTATCAATTCATTTCCTTTTGGCTCATTATAGTTTGAAATAGCAAGTCAGTGACACTGACACGCTTCCTTTTCCAACCTAGGAAAACTAATTTAAATAAAACTGTACAGCAGTGAAGTTATGAAGAAACTTTTGAAGACTGTTTTTAAAATAACAGTAGTTTATAACAGTATGGCAGTACAGTAGGAGAAACATCCTATTGTGCCAGATTATTTAGGATATAGGCCAGATAAACTGAGCTCTATTTTATTATTCCTCAATCAGAGTCTACCACATAGCACAAGGCTAGAAAAGTCTGTGAGGTGATAAAAAGTTGATCTTCAAAGCTCCTTCTATCTATATTAATATTTCTTAAACTTGAACGTGTGTAACAATCACATTTTCTGTTTAAAAAATTTGTTAAAATGGGAATTCTGTGTCAGTAGGTCTGGGGTGGGGCCTGAGATGCTGCATTTCTAACAGGTGCCTGGGCAGTGCCGCTTCCTCTGATCCATGGGCCAAACCTGGAAAAGAAAGAACCTAGATTTTTCACAGAAGAGTTAGCATAAAGATACCGTCAGTCGTGTAAACTTTGCCACCTTCTGAATTATTCGTAACTTGGGTACTCTTACTAGTAGTTTTATTTGTAATTCCATAGAATGTTGAATTAGAGTAGAATTAAAATCCTTTCCTGTCAGACTAATATGGAATTATTTATCAATAGGTAATGGAGACCAAAAATATGTTGTACCTTGTGACAGAATATGCCAAAAATGGAGAGATTTTTGGTAAGCACTTCACTGTTCTTTAAATTTGTTCTTAATTTGAATATGTCACTAATCTTCACGAATGTAGTATTTTCCTTTAATTTTCCTGCTCGTTTAAGAGTTAGTAACTAGAACCTTTTAAGGATTAGAATACAATAAAATATTCAGTATGACAAAGATATGGAATATAACTTATTCTCTTGTATTCATGATGTTTATGTTTTAAAGCTGTTGCTTAATTTTGTCAGCTGCCTGAGAGAGAAGGGAGAATCACAGACAGGAAGAAACTTGGAGTCATATTGCAAGGGGGATTTTCTTTCCTTTTATGTTTCCTTTTATCTTCATTTTTTACCTTTCCTTCCAGGGGCAAAATTAGTCAACAAATACTTACTGAGTTCCTACTGCGTCCCAGCATTGTTTTAGGTATAGAGGATATAGTGGTGACCTAAATAACATGGTTCCTGCTGTTGTGGATCATACGGTTTAGAAAGCTCCCAACTGTAGCTGTAAGACCCTGGGCCAGTCGCTATACCTCTCTGGGACTTGGTTGCTTTATCTCTGTTAAGAGAGTATTTGATTAATTGGGTTTTATGATCCATTCTAACCCTTGAAAAATTACAAATATATTTTTAGTGTTTATTTAGTTTTGAGAGACTGAGTGCAAGCGGGGGAGGAACAGAGATAGAAGGAGGCACAGAATCCAAAGCAGGCTCCAGGCTCTGAGCTGTCAGCACAGACCCCTATGTGGGACTTGAACCCACAAACCATGAGATCATGACCTGAGCCTAAGTCAGATGCTTAACTGACTGAGCCACCCAGGCGCCCCTAACCTGCCCATTTAAATCCAAAATGGTTTTTAAACAGCCTTTGTGAGGAATTATTTACCTACAATAAATTGCATATATTTAACATGTACAATTTAATAAGTTTTCACACACATAACATACACACACACACACACACACACACACACACACACACACACACACACACACATCACCACAGCCAAGATACCCATAGTTCCCAAAGTTCCTTTGTGCCCCTCTATAATTTCTCTTGGCCCACCTCACCACCAAGCAACTGCTGATCTGTTTTGTGTCACTGTATGTTAGTTTCTGTCTTCTTGAGTTTTATATAAATGTGGCCATTCAGTATATGCTTTTTTGTCTGGCATCTTTTGCTCAGTGTAATTATTTTAAGATTCATCCATTTTGTTGTGTATATCAACATATCATTTCTTTTTATTGCTAAGTAGTTTAGAAATAGCTTTCTATTGTATAAATATATCCCAGTGTATCCATTCATGAGTTAATAGACACGTGGGTTGGTTTCTGGTTTTGGCTGTTTTAAACATGAATTGCTCTGAACATTTACATACAAGTCTTTAACTTACAGTCTACCTTCAAGTAATGACTTGCCACCTCACATACGGTATGAGCCTTAACGTACTATACTTTTATTTTCTATCTCCTGGCCTTTATGTTCTTCTCAGACATTTTATTTATCCCTTATTTTATAAAACACAAAATACAGTGTTGTTACTTTTGTTTAAAAAGTCAGTTATGTTTTAAAGAGATTTCGGTATTGTCTTTTAAAATCTTAAATATTTCCGGGGCGCCTGGGTGGCTCAGTCGGTTTAGCGTCCAGCTTTGGCTCAGGTCATGATCTTGCAGTTTGTGGGTTCGAGCTCCACGTTGGGCTCTGTGCTGACAGCTCACAGCCTGGAGCCTGCTTTGGATTCTTTGTCTCCTCCTCTCTCTGTTCCTCCCCTGCTCACGCTCTGTCTCTCTCAAAAATGAATAAAGATTTAAAAAAATTTTTTTTGAATCTTACATATTTCCTAGTGGACTCATCATTGCTACATCCATCTATAGAGATGCACATTTTCATTTTCAATTCTTTGTGTAGATACATACCTGATCTGGTGTCATTTGTCTTCTGTTGGAAGGATTTTCTTTGGCATTTCTTGTAATGCAGGTCTGTTGCTGATGAAATCTTTGTTTTTGTATGTCGAAAGTCTTTGTCTGTTTTTGCAAGATATTTGTATTGGGTATATATTTCTAGCTTGGGTTTTTCTCTTTCAGTACTTGAAAGATGTTGCTCCACTGTGTTCTTGTGTGCATCATTTCTGACAAGAAACCTCCTGTGTCTTTTTCTTTATTCCTCTGTGTGTGATGTGCCTCTGTTCTCTGGCTGCTTTTCCAGTTTTTTCTGTTCATTACAGGTTTCAACAATTTGGTTGTGATACGCCTTTGTGTGGTTTTCTTCATGTTTCTGTTCATTGAACTTCCTGGATCTGTGAATGTACAGCTTTCACCAAATTCAGAAAAGTTTCAGTCATTACATTCTTGACCAGTTTTTCTGAGCCACCCCTGTTTCCTTCTCTTTAGAGACTCCAATTATACATCTGTTAGGCTGTTTGAAATTGTTCTACAGCTCACTGATGATGTTTTTTCTGTTTTTAAAAAAAATCCTTTGTTTGCCTTTGTTTTGTACATTCCTTTGTGGAGGCTTTGTAAAAAAAAAAAATTCCTTTGTTTCATTTTGGATAGTTGCTCTTTCTGGGTCTTGAAGTCATCGAATCTTCCATGATGTCTAATTTGCCGTCACTCTCATGCAGTGTATTTTTCATCTCACACGTGGCAGTTTCCTGCTCTGTAAGCTTGACTGAGGCCTTGTGTTTTTTTTCTTTTTTAGATCTACCATGTCTTTAGTTGTCTTTTTTTAACATCTGGAGTATAGTTTTAATAACTTGTAATGCCCATGTCTTCTAATTCTCCTATCTCTGTCAGTGCTGAATCTGTTGTGAATGGTTAATGTTTCTCCCCAGTTTTGATCAGATTTTCCCACTTCTTTACCTGCCTGGTAGTCTTTGATTATGTCAGACATTGTCACTTTTACCTTACTGGTTGCCATATGTCTTTGTATTCCTATCCCTCTTCTTTAGCTTTGATCTGGGTCACAGTTAAGTTACTAGGAAAGAATTTATGTCATTTGAATCTTCCTTTTATGATTGGAGCAGTGCTCACTCTAGGTATCGTTATTTCCCACTTTGGAGTCCTCTATCCGATGCCCCATGGATTTGGGGTGTTTTTTTTTAGCCTGGTCAGTAGGAACAGGCAGCATTCCTGGTACCAGACAGTCTTCTCTCTGATCCTCACAGATGGTTCTTTTTATGGGTTTTGGTAGTTTTCTCACATGCATCTGCCATGTCTCCTCTCCAGGATGCTCACAGATCAAAGCTGTGGGCTCCTCAGTGTGTGTACTCTCTTCTTTGGTACTCTGTGTTTTGTTACCTCCATTCACCTCGTTCTCCTGAGACTCTCAGGTCTGTCTCCTTGCTCAGGGACTCTGCTGGGTGCTGCCTCAGGTTCTCCTCCCTACCCTGTGGCCTAGACCCTCTTTTAAGCCATAGTTGAGGGTATTCGTAGGTCTCACCTCACTTATTTTCTGCCTCTCAGGGATCACTCTTCTTTGCCTGATGTTCAGTGTGCTATAAACCAGTATCTCATATATCTTTGTCTTTTATTTGTTGTGGGGATTGTCTCGGTACATCCAGTCCTTGTTCCTCCATCTTGAATGAAAGCAGAAATCTCCAATCCTGTCAAAATTACCTTTAAGTTTAGCTATTTTAAAAGGAAGACAAGTTTCTTCCATTCCTTCTCTTCTTGTTCTTTTCCTTTTTTCTGTCTTCTGTTCTTTTCCTTTTTATTTCTTACTCTATCTTATATTGGCTCATCTATTCAGTTTAGTCAGTCTTTCAAGAAATCTTTACCAAAAACCAACTGTGTGTTACATACTGTTCTACCTGGTAGGAATACCACAATGAAGAAAACAGACAAAAATCCCTCTTATGAACTTTACATTCTAGTGTGGGGAGAGATAAAATAAAGGAATTAAGTAGAATGTATAGCATATTAGATGGTGGTAAGTGTTATGGAAATAGTAAAACAAGGAAAACAAGGAAGGGGCGTTGGGGAGTAGGGAAGTTGATTGCAGTGTTAAATAGAGTGATCAGGAAAGGCCACACTGACATTTGAGCAGAGACCAGAAACTAGTCAGGTAGATATGAGGAAAGAGTGTGTTCCAGGGAGAGCAGAGACCGAATGCAAGGGTCCTGAGGCAGCAGTGTGCTTGGTATATTCAAGGAATAGTGGCGAGGCCTGTCTGGCTAGAGATAGGCAAGCAAGAGAGAAGAGTAAGAGTGAGCAGGGAGGAAGAATAGTAGTAGGAGATGAGATCAGAAGGGCAAATGGGAAGCAGGAGTGGTGCACTCTAGGGGCTTTGTAGGCCATTATAAGGACTTTGGCTCTTAACCTTGAAAGAATTAGGGAACCATTAGAGGGGATTGATCAAAGAAGTGATTGCATCTAATTTTACTTTTTTTTTTTTTTAAGTTTATTTATTTTGAGAGAAAAAAACGCAAGAGGGGGAAGTGCAGAGAGAAAGGAGAGAGCCAGAATCCCACACAGGCTCTGCACTGCCAGTGCAGAGCCCATTGTGGGGCTTGAAGTGACAAATCGCAAGATCATGACCTGAGCTGAAGTTGGACACTTAACCAACTGAGCCATCCAGGCGCTTCTAATTTGACATTTTAAAAGCACCACTCTGGCTCTTCTCGGAATGGATTGTAGTGAGCAAGAGTAGAAACAGACCAGGCTGTTCCAGTAGTCCAAGTGAGAGATGACGATGGCTCAGCAGGGTAGTAGCAATACACGTAGTGCTATGGGTCAGATCCACGGTATGTTTTGCTAGAAGAATCAGTAGGATTTCTTGCTAGGTGGAGACCACCTAAATAGTGACTATGATTGGAGAAACGACCCATGTCATATTCCTAAGGCCCTCAAACATTTAAAGACTGGGAAGATAGGAGGAGCCAGCAAAAGAGACAAGAGAATGCAGTGTCCTGGTTACCAAGGAACCAGGAAGTGAAGGAAGTGTTCTCAGGATGGTGGTGTGAATGACTATCTATGTCAGATCAAGAAAGGTGAAGAATGATAGTTGACCATTGTATCTGGCAG